TTTAGGCTGTTTGCCTCCACCACCAACACAGCTAATTCCAGACACACAGCACCCTCTGTGTAAAAAAAGCTTTTCCTCACGTCCCCTCTAGTCCTTCTGCTACTTAGCTTGAATTAATGACCCTTGGTTTTTGAAGCCTCTGCCAAAGGAAAGAGGTTCCACCTGTCTACTCTATCTCTACCCCTCACAATTTTGTATATGGTTAGTAACCTTGCAGATGACACCAAGATTGGCAGTATAGTGGACCGTCAAGAAGGTTATCTAACATTACAAAGAGATCTTGATCAATTGGGTCAACGGGCTGAAGAGTAGCAAATGGAGTTTAATTTGGATAAATGCAAGGTGTTGCAGTTTGGTAAAACAAACAAAAAACAAGAATTATACAATTAAAAGGAGGGCCTTGGGCAGTGTTGTAGAACAGACAGGGTTCAGGTGCATAATTCTTGGAAGTTTGCTTCATATATAGATAAGATGGTTAAGGAGGCATTTAGCATGCTTGCCTTCATTGCTCAGACATTTGTATACAGGAACTAGGATGTTATGTTGAGGATAAACTGGACATTGGTGAGGTCTCTCCTGGAGTACTGTGTCCAGTTTTGGTCGCCCTGTTATGGGAAGGATATTATTAAACCGGAGAGGGTTCAGAAAAGATTTCCCAGGATGTTGCCGGGAATGGAGGGTTTGAGTTATAAAGAAAGGCTGGATAGGCTGGGACCTCTTCACTGGAGCGTAGGAAGTTAAGAGGTGACCTGAAAGAGGTTTACAAAATCATGAGATGCATAGATAGGTGAATGGTAGGTGTCTTTTCCCTAGTGTGAGGAATTTCAAGACTAGAGGGTGTATTTTTAAGGTGAGAAGAAAAAGATTGAAAAAAGTCATGAGAGGCAATTGTTTTTACAGAGAGTGGTTTATGTGTGGAATGAACTTCCAGAGGAAGTGATGGATGCAACATCTAAAAGACATTTAGATAACTACATGAATATGAAATGTTTGGAGGAATGTGGGCCAAGCACAGACAGGTGGGACTAGTTTAGTTTGGGATTATGGTTGGCATGGACTCATTGGACTGAAGGGTCTGTTTCCGTGCTGTTTGACTCAATGACTGTATGTTACTCCTCAGCCTTTTCTGTTCCAAGGAAAACAACCTGACGTCTCCAATCTGTCTGCGTAGCTATAATTCTCCAACCTTGGCAACGTTCTAGTAAGTCTTCTCTGTACTCTCTCCAGAGCAATTACATCCCTTTTTATAAAATGGTAACCAGAATGGCACACAATACTCCAGTTGTGCCCTCACCATTGTATTATACATATTCATCATTACATCTCTACTTTTGTATTCTATACCTCTGCCAACGAAGGACAGCATTTTGAATGCCTTCTTTACAAACTTATCTATCTATACTGCTACTTTTAGGGACCTGTGCACTTGCATGCCAAGATCTCTCAGCTTATCTACACCTCCCCTGTATATTCCCATTTATTGTGCATTCCCTTTCACTGTTTGACCTCCCTAAATGCATTGTCTCACACTTATTAGAATTGAACTCCATCTGCCACTTTCTTGCCTGCTCCACCAACCCATCTTTATCATTTTGAAGCTTACAGCTGTCCTCCACAGTGTCCTCTACTTGGCCAAGTTTTGTGCGGCTTGCAAATTTCCCAATTACATCCCAACATACAAGTCCAAATTGTTAATGAATAAAACAAACAACAGGGGTGCCAACATCGAGCCCCTTAGAACACCACTTGAAACAGCTTTCCTTTCACCACAGCAACCATCAACCATTTCCCTTTGTTTCCTGTTACTAAGCCAACTCTGGATCCAAATACATCAAGAAGCTAAGGACTGCTATATAAAGCTGCTGTCATTTTTAAAAAAAACATACACGCTACACCTATTTCGATTCAACATAATAGGTGACAGCCGTTCACTACTTCATTTTTGGACATAATCAGAGTCAACTTATCTGGTGTAAAGTTTAAACAAAACTTGGTTGTTAACTGTCGGTCATCATTCACTGGTGCATTGTCCATGACAATGCCGCTACCAATCACAGTTCGCTTGCCAACCAATCAGCATTGTTCTCATGCAGAATCAGAAATCACACAAAACCAGGTTATAGTCCAACAGAGATAGTAGGAACTGCAGATGCTGGAGAATCCGAGACAACAAGGTGCAGAGCTGGATGAACACAGCAGGCCAAGCA